TACGTCCAATGGAATATCCTAAGGTCCGGTTACAGGTTTGGGAATCGCTTCCAATCGTACGGTTATCGCGAATTCCCAACCTTCGAATTATTGAATCGGAACATCCGGGGCTCCGATTCATGATCCGCAAATTCCTATAGGTTTCTAAAAGTACCTAAATCAACATACTTCAGTTTGAAAACGATCCAACGGTTAGAACTTATCGAACCTGGATAACTCACAATATGCGAAATCCGTTAGATAGTCAAATGACATCCGAATTGAGATCCGCAAAATCCTACGCACTCGTGACAACCTAAGGATCTCATCAAGATAAAAAGCAACTTCACCAGCCTTGCCCACACGCCGCCACACGCGCCGGCAGCGCGCGGGGGCGTAGAGAAATTTCCGGCGAAGGAAAATCTCCAAAACACAAGCCTGGCGGCAGCGCAACGATCGGAAACTTCTAGTTCGAAGCAGTCGAAACTGACATCGGGATTCGAGGTTTCCGGCGGGGAAATTAGGTGGGTCGTGATCGGGACTTCACGACGAGTCGAACGGGACCGGTGACGGCCCTTTCCGTGGCCGGAGTTGAGAGAATCGAAGAGAGAGAAAGTCGGTATCGGGGAGAGAGAAACGGAAGAGAGAGAGAGCGTACGCGGGGAGAGAGAGAGAGAGTGAGGTAAAAATGAAAAAATCTGATTTTTACTCAAAACTTTTCGAAATAATTACGGTTCCGCCATCGAGCTTATTTTGATCGCCAAAACTTCATTAAATCTCCGATTCAAGCCTACCGCCTGTCTACGGTTTCGTCTCAGTACCACCTACGCAACCAAACCACTCATGGTCCCAAAATCTTCCCGGATAAGAAAATGACCAAAATTACCCTTAACCCAAGAGTAAATTAATAATTTCTCTTAATTTAATTAAAATAGGAAAATAATTGGAGTCGGGGTGTTACAATCAATCTCCCTATAAAGGGCACTATAGTACTTCCAAAGGTACAGCTATCCTAATCAGGGGTGCATCCACCAAAACATGGTCTGCCCATTAAAATGCCAACTTGATTTGAAACTATTGAGATTTTAGTACTTTCTTGAAGCACCTTGATCAATGATTTTGTAAAACATAATTTGATGTCGGAACGGTTTCCGATTTGTCTAACTTTTTTCAAAAATGATCTATGAATATATACTTAAAAAATAGATAGTTTGGATCGTTAAAAAAATTCGTAACGGACCTTAGAGGATGTCCCTCAAATAAAATTATTTGAAGAATCTCTCAATAGAAGAGACTATATATATAGTTGCTAGTAAATATCTTTCCTTCAAAATGTGTAAAATTTATTTGATCTCTTGTTCTCTCATTGTCACAGATAGATGAATAGAAGACAAGGTGAATCCAAATCAATCATGATCCGTTAAGAATGGAGAAATGGCGCCAATCTATAAATTTTAAGGTTTAAGCTTAAGATGGTTCCTGCTAAAAGTGATATAAATTGAAATCATATATCATCATAATTAGTTTATATATAGGAAAGGCAAACACTGTATTTGTTCATAAATCTAAAAGATAGACCGATGTCCTAGGAGTCTTGAATAACTATCAATTTTAATAAATAAAAGGAAACAAGAAAAAAAGTTACGCATTTGTAAGCTTATATATTAATTTGTTATTCATACATCTTTCATATTCAGGTTTTCCCTAAAGGTTCGAAATTGGTTCACGACATGTCAAGACAAATAGAACATATGAGAGAAGAAGGAAAGCTTATAGAGATGGAAAAGACCTGGTCTCTTAGAAAAACAACTCTTATGTCTGAGGAAGCTACTACCACAGGTCCCAGTACTCTTGACCTCTATAGCTTTCGTGGTTTATTCCTCGTTACTGGGATTTCTTCAGCTTTTGCTCTCTTCTTGTTCTTAATTTTCTCCACAACATTTAGAAATCTGATTAGAAAGCAACTGCAATTGATTGGAAGACAACTGCAGCGTTTAAGGATGTAGTCCTGTCCAATTTAGCATTGGGAACTGAATAAATTAGTCTATTGTACGTACATGATGTCCTTTATTAATTATATAAATTGCTTTCGCTCCTTTCTTTGGAAGATCATAATATATAACACTGCAGCAGGTGTAGCTATATGCCAGAAATCGTAGTGTCATAATGCTAAAGTTGTAGAGGGAGTAACATGCAGTTTGCTTAATGTACATTTGGGTATGTGTTCTATTTTTTTCAGGGGGTTGTTATTGGCACTCTAAAAAAGTCATCCTACACTCCTTTATAAGGACGTAATGGAGAACTTATACACCACCTCTCTGTATCGCACTCCTCGAGAGGTGAGATGCAAATCCGGGATAAAGAACTTATTTCTGTATAGATCTCGATTTCCGCTAGCTCCAACAAATTATCAAGGGATTAGAGTCTAAGAGGACTGAATTAAACCCCTAGTTATCCTTGTGTGCTTTCCAATTTGGTTGTATGTGTGAAAAGAATGGAATACTGAGTATGATTTGTCAATTTTTGCCATGATTACTATCCACACGGCTGACGGCTGTGAATGGCACAATAATCCTTGGTAGAAAAGAAGTAAAAATCACGGATACAATAATCCTTTAATCCTTGGTGAAGAGAATAGACAAGACCAAAAGGGCCTTATATGCCTGTTGCTTCCTATATGGAATACTAAGTTGGTAGAAAAGAATAAGTTCTCTTTTTACTCAACATCCAAATTGTCTCAGAGCATTCACAATGGGCTCTCTAAACCATATCCTTAGACAAATTTTAGGGAGGAATTGTAAAAATACAACTCCAACTATGCTCCCTATCCACCTCCTAAAATAGGGAGACCTGTATGAGCTCTTAAATATGAGGAGAGAGAAAGGACTCCTAGTGGCTTCCTATAATTTAATGCTGTTTTATTTAATTAGTATTTCAAACCTTTATTTAATGCTAACTATTTTTTATTTTATTTTTTTAATAGAGATGGACCAATCAAAAAAAAGTTATAGCATTTATGACAACCTAAACTAGAAAGCATGATTGAAGTTTAAATTTTAGAGATAGCTCCTAAAATAACTTTGATATGTTTTTAGCTAAAATTTAACTAAAAAATAGAGAGCATGATTTTGGATGCTCTCACCAAGCCATAAGATAGCTTTTTTATTTAGAGAAAGCATAAATTTGAAATCTTAGCTGTGGATACAAAATAAAAGGAATAAAAATACGAAATTACCGAAAGTCTTTAAATTGGCGTAGCATGCCTAGTGTTGCTGCCTTGAGAATCAAGTGCACCGGTCGATATGAGATTCCCTCTCAGAGAGGAAGAACTTCGCCTCCTGGGCCAATTGTTATTGGTACGGTCAAAGCCCCTTAGCTTACATGCTCTCTCTTTTTCAGGCAATCTAATAATAGATTACGTTTATGAGACGCGTGGCATTGCAAATCAACTCGGTGAGAATCGAAATTTACCCAGATGCTGGTTCATGCTCACATAAGACAAGCACTGATCAGGCTGAAAATGCTCCAGAGAGTTTGAATCATGAAGCCTTCCTTGAATCAGAGGATTGGCGACCTCAAGTCTTAAATGAAAACTTACTTGCTGCCGAAGGTAATAACATTCTGTTGTGAATTTGCTGCTACTCTTCAGGCTGTACCACCCACACGGTTTATATGAATATTATTATAACAAGCTCCTTAAATTATCATAACGCATGCAACACGCTTGAAAGAATTTTCACTTTGAATTTTGTCACCTGTCATATTCTAGCTATATCACCATTCACAAAGTCTTGGTCAACCTATTCACGTTGCTTTCTGGAATTTCCTAATCACTGGAATTTCTTATATCTTGCAGTCCACAGCCTGCAGCCCCTCCCACTAATTAAAGAGAAGTAAACGGTATCTTGATAGTGATAGTTTTCCTCCTTAGCATTTTATTTTACTAATATAAATTAATATTCTCGGGCGAGCTAGGGCGCTAATTAATTAACATATGAAGAAGCATTATATATGTATGCAGGATGATACTGATCAAGTGTTAAACCAAACAATAGAGAAGCAGAATTAAGTTGGTCCCTTGTGTATATGGAGTTTCAAGGGAAGATGCAAACCATCCTCTGCCTGTCCTTTGTGACCTTGTTTATCCTTCTAGGTCTCTTGTGTGCTGAAATTGATGGCAGTCCCAATATTGTTGTGGAAGAGGTTCATGTTGGTGTGATTCTTGAGATGGGGTCAAGGGAAGGAAAGATTATTCTCAGCTGCATTTCAACAGCCCTGTCTGATTTCTACCATCTGCATAATAACTACAGCACAAGAGTAATTCTGCACACCAGAGATTCCAAAGGAAAAGCACTACATGCTCTATCAGCTGGTAAGCCACATATTAATATTTTAGTCTTTGTACTACAAATTTAATCTGGGTTGTGGACGGGAGAGGATCTGGTCAGGATGAGGGAGAAGGGGGTTTGACCGGGATGAGGGAGTCATGGGGGCGGTGGGGGAAAGACTTTCAAAAATAAAAGCTCCACATGTCATCATCAGCAACTATTTCTGCAGTCCAGTAAATGCTCCGCATGGCTACAGACATGCGTGTGATTCCAAACTTTGTGTAGTAGGGTTTTGCTTTTTAGGTTTATGTGGGTTTTCATTTTTAAGGGCATTTGTGTCTATTTTGGTGAGTTTTTGGCTATATTTGAAAGATTTTATAAAAACTGACATTTGAAAGTGGGGGTAAATATTGGCTATTTTGATAAAAACTCAGATGGCTTTGAGGACCTGGGGATGGGTGCACAAAGATAGAAAGAAGAGAGTTTATTTATTTATTTTTTAATTGAACTTTATATACAAATTTGATACGAAAAAAACTTTATGTAGCAAAACTGTAAATTTCGGGAAACTTGCATGTAGTAAAGTGAAATTCACCCTAAAAAAAATTAAAAGAAACTATCATTGTATACTTTTATCTTAAACTCTACTCGATCCTCAACCAAATGCAGCTCTAAATCTTTTGGATAAGATCAAAGTGGAAGCAATAATTGGCGCACAAACAAAAATGGAAGCAAACCTATTGGCAGAGTTAGGAGAAGAAGCTAAAGTCCCTGTATTGTCACTTTCTGGACTTTGTACTAGTCCTTTCGGTGCTCCTGGCGAATATCCCTTCTTTGTTGAGATCACACAAGATGAAACTTCTCAAGTTACGGCAATCAGTGGCCTTATTGAAATGTTCAAATGGAGGGATGTCATCCTTCTATATGAGAACACAGATTATGGGAGAGACATCATTCCATTTTTTATCAACTCCTTTGAAGAAGCAAATGTGACTATTGTATATAAAAGTTGCATTGCTGCCTCCTCAGCAGATGAACAGATCATTGAAGAGCTCCGCAACCTCACGAAGTTGAAGACGATGGTATTTGTGGTGCATGTATCACATTTTCTTGTTCCTCGCCTTTTCTTGAATGCAAAAAAGTTAGGCCTACTGAATGAAGGGTATGCTTGGATTATGACATCAACTAGCATGAATTTCTTGCATTTCAAGATTGAGGAGGATATTTTACATGCAGGATCCTAACATAGAAGTAAGTGCGGTAACCCCAGATGGAATTTGGGCATATAATGCAACTTGGACTCTAGCTGAAGCAGTTGAGAGGACCTGGACTTCTACAGGATTGAACCTAGTGAATTTAAACAATATTACATCCTCCAAACATGGACTTCTGCTTCTTCAAGAGATATTGCAAACAAGGTTTAAGGGTTTAAGTGGTGAAGAAATTCAATATCCAAATGGGAAGCTAGTTTCAAGTGCATTTGAGATTGTAAATGTCATAGGAAAAGGGGAAAGAAGGGTTGGATTTTGGCCATGTGAAGAAAAACACACAAGAGATTCCTACACACTTAATAACAGAAGAAATTTACTTTCCACCAACGATCTCGAAACAATCATATGGCCTGGAGGATCATCAACCATCCCAAAAGGTTCAAAGATGCAAGTGAGTACTAGTTCTGAAATAAAACTAAGAGTTGGCGTTCCAGTGAAAAAAGGGTTCAACGAACTTGTGCAAATGAACCTTGATATTCAAACCAATCGAACAAATTTCACAGGCTTCTGCATAGATGTATTCGAGGCTGCAATTAGAGCATTGCCGTATGAAGTAAATTATGACTTTATTCCATTTGAGATTGGCATTAATGCAAGTTACAATGATCTTGTTTACCAAGTTTTTCTCCAGGTATGCTTAATTTGTAATTAAAAATTTATATCAGGTAGAATATAACTTGTAATGCAAAAATAGAATTGCATCTCATTATATTACATTTTTAATGATTTAACCTTTCTAATTTAACCTTTCTAACTAGACATTCGATGCTGTTGTTGGGGATACCACGATCACATCGAAGAGATCTCAGTATGTTGATTTTACAATGCCATATACTGACTTAGGTGTGGGGATGCTAGTATCAAATGAAAATGAAGACATGTGGATTTTCTTGAAACCTCTTTCGGCAGATCTGTGGATCACAAGTGCGGGTTTCTTTATCTTCACTGGTTTCGTAGTGTGGGTAATTGAGCGTCCTGTCAACCCAGAATTCCAAGGCACACATTCGCAGCAAATCGGAACCATATTATGGTTTGCCTTCTCAACCCTTGTGTTTGCTCATAGTAAGTGCACTATATCTCACTACTTCTTTCAATTATTTAAGTCTACTGCTAATTAGTCAATGCACATCTTAATAGTTTTCAGTCATTATGAAACAACGATTCCTTCTGTTTTCTGATTAATTAACACAGATATGAGAAATAGTAGCATTATTACGAATATAGATGAAAGAACGATTCCTTCTGTCACTCAAATTCCCGTACTCATATTCATTCAGATGAAAGAACGAACTCAAATTACGAATATAGATGCTGTAGTTGACGATCAGTCTTGATTTTGTTGCAGGGGAGAAGTTGTTAAACAATTTAGCAAAGTTTGTAGTGATCATATGGGTGTTTGTTGTGCTTATATTGACTTCCAGTTACACAGCAACTCTGACATCAATTATGACAGTTAACCAAATACGATTAAACTCAAGAGGGGACTATATAGGTTACCAATCAGGTTCATTAATCAGTCAGCGAAAGGTAGAGAACTTGAATTTCAAAGGTGTTAAACTATATAATTCGATTGAAGAATATGCTCTCGCTTTATCAAGAGGAAGTAAGCATGGTGGTGTCTCTGCTATAGTTGAAGAGGTTCCGTACATTAAGATCTTCCTTGCACACTATCCTACTGGCTACTCCATGATTAAACCCGAATCTAGCACCAATGGTTTTGGCTTTGTGAGTAACCTCCCTTAAATTAAGTTATGCATTAAGCATGATATTTTGGCCACATAACATCTTAGCATTTATAGTTTCTGTAGTCTTTTATGATTTTCCAATTTGATCCTTGTATTTCTGATTCTGACAATTAAGTGCATGTACTTTACTTAAGCTTAAATCGAATCTAATATGTTACATCCATTTAATTACACATATGCATTGCAAATCAAAACTATATGGAGAAAAGCAGAAAATCAGGAAGTAAGCATGCTGATTAGTTCGTTGTTCATCTTTTTTTGTGTATGCAGGTTTTCCCTAAAGGTTCGAAACTGGTCCATGATATGTCAAGGCAAATTCAACAAATGAGAGAAGAGGGAAAGCTTATAGATATGGAGAAGGTCTGGTTTCATAAGAGAACAATTCCCATGTTTGACTACACAACGAGTGATCCCAATACTCTAAACTTCCATACCTTCCGTGGTTTATTTCTCATTACTGGGGTTTCTTCAGCTTTTGCTCTTTTCATATTCATAATATTCCCACTCAAAGAAAGATGGTATGCGGTGAAGAAATTCAGATTTAGATATCGGGTTCGAGAAAAGCTGCAGTGTGTAAGGATGTTCTTCTCTCACAAAGTTTCCAATGAAAACGAAGAAAACAAGTAGACAGATAGTGCCTGACCCTTAGTGGGGTAGTCTGGGCGAGTAGGACTCGTCGAAGGCGTCCGAGTATTGAGGATTTTGTTGTACGTGTTGGTGAGCTTAGTCCCAGTTGGACGGCTCGTTCCCTAGCCACATAGTCAATTGAGGATTCTTTCATGTGGACTAGTCAAACAATCCGCCAGTTGGATTGTTTCCCCCGTACAACTTAGTGGTGTCATACTTATATATAATTATATAACTATTACGTTGTGCATATATATATATATATATCTATTCATTCGTTCTTGTTTATCAATGAAGATACTTCCTTGCTCGCCGTGCCAACGGACATGCATTTTGAGAGACTAGGTTGGGTGTAAGAGGGAAAGGTTTGAATGGGATGATTAATAAAGTTTCATTATGGGATTTTGGATCTCACTATGGTTTTCGGCATCGTTTTCTAAATGGTGGGGTTATATTATGTTGTTTTCAGTGTCAACTAAACTTTGTTTTTATCCACTCATACTTTTCTGTTTTACGCTCCCTACACAGTAGTTGACCGAGTTGAGTAGGAGAGTCGAGCTTTGAACTTCCAAATCCCGAACTTTAGTAGGATAAGCTTTGTTCATTTCCTTTTCGTTAAACTTGGTTATCATTTGAAAACCGAAACTCTTAGATTGCTCTGTTATCGCCCGTACTAGGGTTTGATTTGTGAGGCCGGAGGCCATTGATTTAAACTGCATGAATTTTAACTTGTGCATGATGCCAGTTGGGTTTATTAACTGTTTTTAATAGGTTGAAAATTTGGGAAAATGTCCAATTTTTAGGGGAGACTTTGCCGAAATTTCTGCAGAAAGTCTCGTGTCTTTAGTAAGTGAGCTTGACATCGGTACGATGTCAGAACTATCACGGGATTCGTCCCGGATTTTGAGAAATTTGGGGCGGGTCCTGTCAATTTGTGGCAACCCCTATGAATTAGTCACATTCAGTCATCTGATTGAACGACATCTAATGGAATTGCCATCTCCAGGAGGATCAAGGTGGTTCATCACCAATCTCTCTCATTATCCATCATCAGAGATGGTCTCCTTGAAGGGCGGAATCAGGATTTTTTTCAACGGGTGGACTAACTATATTTATTAACTAAAAATCTAATGATCATTTTTTTTTCCATACAATTTCTAGTCTTTGTAGAAATAAAATATTAAATCATATAAACCACGCTAGTTTATATCTCAATTGACTAATTTGCAATAATAATAAAAACATTCTTTCAATAAGGCGATATTGGGGAGGACAAATTGAACCTTAGACAAAGGTAAATGGTCAAAAGCTACAAGCTCCTTGGAATTTCCAATAAGCTTTAACTTTAAGACAAATAAATATTAAATGCAATCAAAAACCATATATTATCAAAATGAAAATATGTTCAACAACATAATTGAAAGTGTACTTATTTTAATGTGTATTTTTATTGTTGCTATGCAACTAAATTGATAAAGAATTGACAGGACCCGTCCCGAATTTCCCAGAACCCGAGACGAACCCTGCGGAGACCCCGGCATCACCCCCATGCCGGGTTCACTCCTTAAATCTACGTCCTCATTTGCCATAGAGGATTAAGGGCACGAGACTTTCTGCCGAAATTTCGGCAGAGTCTCCCCTATAAATTGAACATTCCCCAAAATTTCCACCTGCAAAGAACGCATTTTATAACCCAACTGGCAGCATGCACAATAAAAGCTCATGCAATTTACATAAATGGCCTCCGACCTTCAAATGATTCTAGCAAGACTGCCCACAAAGTTCTTAAAATAACTTAATGCATCAAACATGCATATAACAACTTCAAAATCTACTCACGCGCACCTTCACTCACTTAGTCCCCAGGACAAGCCTCAATTCAACCAAGTTTTGGGACCAACAACGAGGTCCAAACCAATCCCAATAAGACCACCTAAGTGGGGTCTAATATGTGGCTGCACCTAGTAACTTCAGGCTGCCTACGTACCCTACTAAGGGATCAAGCCACACGTAGCTCTTTCATATCTATCCTGGCTCCTACTATCAAATAAACCATTACCACCACACAAATACATATATTCTCGGATTTATCCATCACAACTCATCAAACACAATCACAATATCACCCTTCATACGACGGGACGTACACCGCCTCGAAAGCGGC